CCCATGCAGCAGTTAAAATATGGGGGGCACAGGGGGCCAGTGCACTTCCTAAGTCCCCTGTGGTGTCCGAGCACGTGGCTTAGGGACAGGCTGGCTGCGGAGTGTTAGCTGCAGGGCTGACCGTGGCTCCGTGTCCTCCGTGCGTTGGTGGGCAACAGGCTCCCTCCCCCAGCCGGGTTCATGGCAAGAGGAGCAGGTACCAGAATGTGTTTCCTTGCAGGGGGCAGCCTCGTGGTTGCAGGACTGCAAAGGGCCTGGCCATAGGGAGCACATCACTGCCTTTATGCATCGCCATATCCTGCCAATCACACACCTTAAGCTGCTTGTCCACCGTACCGAGAGCAGGTCAGTGCACTTACACATCGTTGCCGTAGCTTCACATTTATCACCATAGTCAGGCACGAGAAGAAACTGTTGTTGATCTGACAATAAGAACAGCCTGGCTGACTTAGACTAACGGTCTGTCTCGTCCAGTGTCAGGTTTTTCATAAGGAATGTACAGAAGAAGGAATTTATTGAGTGATTCATCCCCTATTGTCCCAATTCCATTTTCTGGAAGTTGAAGGTTTATAAACACTCAGAGCTTATGGTTGTGTCTTTGACCTTCTTGGCTAATAGCCACTGACGGACCTATATCCCATGGATTTTTCTGAATGATACACTTCCTGCAGTGGTTTTATGTCAGTCAGGAGTACTCTATGCAGGCCAGGAAAGTATTCAGCAGTCATACCACGAAGGGAGAAATAGCAATTCCAAACTCCATAATACATAGTCCTGCTGTGAGTGCAGGGGACTAGACTAAATGACCTCTCAAGGACCCTTCCAGGCCTGTGTCAATGAATCTTTTCCTATATCAAGCTAATTTGGTGTAGACACTAAATAATGTTAACACAATGTCTAACCATCCTGAACACTGTTATGCATGCAGGTGTGCAACTCAAGTGCCATTCTCAAATGCTAGTCCCTGATGTGACCAAATCTGTGTCACTTAGATGAACAGGTACAAAATTACACAGTGATGTTCCCTATTGATTCCCTTGGTGAGTCCAGATCAAATGCATAATGATAACAAGTCAAATGATTTTTCCTATTGGGGGAAAAACAGCAAAAAACTGGGATCCGAGTCAATGTTCAGTTTGTCCTTTATATCATCCTTAGATATGCAGACTGCAATTAAAACTTACCAAACAATTTTTGTGATGTGTGAGACCGGATAGCCCCTAGCTTGTTTTTGGTCTCTGTCAGCTCAGCAGGATTTGCAGGCAGGAGACAGAATTACTTTGTCAGTACTTTGTCAAGAAAAAAAATAGTGATGGTGACCCCAATTATAAAAGAGGCCAAGTTAGGGAAGCTTTTCCGCAATAATGGTGCCTATCTTAAACTTAAATGGAATATCTTACATATTCTCACCACTTAGAACTGGTTCAGGAAAAAAGTAATTTTCCCCTTCCCTCCCCATTTTTCATTTCTTTTTTATTATTTTTTTATCTCTCTGCTATTATTCCTATCAATGTAGCAGCTTGAGGGCCCTCCGTACTAGGTGCTGTACATTTACATAATGAAAGAGTCTCTTTCCCAAAGACTGAGAGGTGTTGTAGCTGCAAAAACAATGAGGAGTCCTCTGGCACCTTAAAGACTAACAGATTTATTAGGGAAGGAGTGGGCAATAAGGTGGTGGTTCGTGAGGGTTAGCCCCTGTTGGGCCACCGCCGCTGTATTTACCTCCATGGATGCAGGTACTGGTGATAATAGCGCCTCTTGGTTGTGGTCACTGTTCCTGGCTAATGGGAGCAGCAGGTGACGGTGTGGACTGGGACACCACTTCCTGCAGCTCCTGTTTGTCGGGAACAGCGATCTGTGCCCACCCTTTCCCTGAAAAAAGTAGTGAGTACACATTCACTGTTTTGTTAACAAAAGGCAGTTTTGGGCAATAAAACATGCCAGCGTAGACAAAGCCTAAGACACAATAAAGTAATTTGCCAAAGGTGTCGGTGGCAGAACCAAAAATGGAGCCCATATCTCTCGAGTCACAGTCTAAAGTCACAACACTGTCTTTCCTTACTAATCACACTTTTCACGCCAAAGGGTTGGGGTGGGAGGATAACAACTAAGGCTATGTCTACACTGGCAATTGAGTGACAAATTTTTTGCCATTCAAAGTTGCTAACCCCCACTCCCCACCCCTGACAAATTTTTTAGCAGCGAAACAGTGCTTTGACGAAGCAAATGCTGCTCATGGGGACTAGAAGTATTTTGTCAGCAAAAGAGCTGACAGAGGCCCCACTGCCCAACTTTTAGTGACAGGAGTGTGTTGACACAACCTCTTTGCTAAAAGCTGTTAGTGTGGACATAGTTTAATAGATGCACAGTTCGCTATAGGACAAAGGGATTTTGGCCAAGGACCACTTTGATGGATGTGTCGATGAATATGTGGATTGTGTGCTGCGTTTAGAGTGGGTCTAAATGCCTGCATGAATAGTAAATTGGCCTCGATATCTTCTTGATCTCTTTTCCTGTCTTTGAGTTCAGGCTCTCACACAACTGAAATTCTAAGATGTTCAGTGGTTTTCAGAGTATAGTGTAGAAGGAAATGTTTTTGCATCAGGAGCAGAACTTTGTGAACAAAATAGAAAACCATCTAATTCCCCTCGTTTCTGGTTTTGCCATGGACTTGAAACTTGATATATTCCTTGAAGCTGTTGCACCTTTCAGGCAAGCCTGGGATTAATGCCAGGAGAACCCCAAGGCAAAACTCAGAAGAAGGAAGGAGATTGAATTTGTGCTGTCTAAACATCACTGCCCACTGCAAATAGAGTTGCCAGCCCTCATAGCAACATAAAACTGGAAGAAGTATGGTCAGTTGTACTATAAACAATTAATGACAATGACTAGACCTACTTTCTACTGAAGCTTTTTGATGCTCCAAATATAGAGGAAAATTATGAACTGTGTTTGTAAGGTAAAGGTTCTTGGGCATGAATTCTTTCTGAAAGAAATTGCTGCTGCCTCCACAGCCTACAGTCTTTGTAGTCTAAAGGAGTCGAACTGTGACAAAAGCCAGTGAAATCGTTCCTGGAGTGACGGAGTAATTTATCTATTGCCCAGCTTTGTGTCTGAATTAGCCGGCAATGCCAGCTGCACTGAAAAGCTGAGCTAGAGGTGTCTGCATCCGCACATGTCTCTTAGGCTATGTCTACACTACTAGGTTATTTTGAACTAACTTATTTAGAAAATAACTCCTGAAATAACTATTTTGAAATAGCATGTCCACGCTAGAGAGAAGCCTCGAAATTAGTCCAAGGCAGACTCCCTTAATGTGAATGTGTTACCTCGACTTAGAGCCCCAGGAAGCACTGGGGAGTAATTACTTTGAATGACTCTGGGGAGTAGTTATTTTGAAATAACAGCAACTAATCGTCCACACCAACCTTCTTTCGAAATAAACACTATTCCTCATAGAATGAGGAGTTATTATTTTGAAAAAAACAAGTCCATTATTTCAAAATAATTTCAAAATAATGGGCTTGCTGTGTGGACGCTCACCTTGTTATTTCAAAATAATGGGAGGTTTTTTTTAAATAACTCTGTAGTGTAGACATGCCCTTAGTGACTTTCAGCATACTTAGTAGTGAAAGTGGTGGATGAGCTGTAGAAAGCAACTAAAAATATGTATTCAGACGTTTAGCTAGTGTCCCCATCAGCCCACAGTAACCCCTCCCCCCACCACATCCACAATTATTTAGGGAGGCCCTTATTACAGTCCGTATAATAGTCCATTTAAGTCAATGGAAACATTCCCTTTAGACTGAATGGGAGATGAAGCAGGCCCTAAATTTTAACCCATCTGGTTGTCATTCAAAACTTTTTTTCCCCTGCAGAATTAGTCTGTCAGAGTGAGAAACCAGACACCAGAGGAAAGCTCCTAACTCTAGATGTCAAAAGCGGCTGCTTTTTTACATATCGATTGTTAACTTGAACAGTTTGCTGGTGGAGCTGTAGACATTTCCTCCTGTGACAGCAATTTGTTGATTTCACTCCTTTGGCTTCAGCTGGAGTTTCTGTAAGTAAAACCAAAGTTGATATTCAGTAAGTGACGATTCCTTTGTTCCTCGCATTCTATGTCCTTCCTTTCTCCCACCCTTCATCTATTTAAATTGTGAATTCCTCAGACTAAAAGCTGTCTCTTATTTTGCGTATGTACAGCATCTAGCTGTTGGGAGGCTCCAGGTGCTACAGTAATATAAATAATTAACAACAACAACAAATCTTCTAATTATCTGGCCACTGAAAAGCAGACAATCAATTCACATAAGCTACGTCTAGACTGCATTGCTTTTTTGGGATAGCAATGCCGCGTCCAAGGACATTTTTGAAAGAACGGATGTGTTCTTTCACCATCCCTGTAAACCTTGTTCTATGAGGAGTAAGGGATGGCTCGAAAGAGCACTTTCTTTCGCAATTTGGTGCTGTGTAGACACGCCAAATTTTGAAAGAACCTCTTTTAAAAGTAAATTGGAAAAAATACACAATTTGCGTACTGCAAATTGCATTTCTTTTTCCAATTTAACAGTGCAGCGGAGATGTAGCCTTATAGAATAACCCTGACTGGCACTTGGTTTATTGTTTAGACTCCACCATAGGTTCCGAACCATAGGTTGGGAACTCACTTAGTATGCTCGATAAGGGCTCGTCTACACTCGCCATGATGGAGATTGGTGTTCTGGTGTTCGATTTAGTGGGTCTGGTGTAGATCCACTAAATCGAAAGCTGAGGACAGCTCTTGACAGCCCCTGTACTCCTTGCAGTCACAAGGAGTAAGGGTATGTCTACACTGCCCTCCTAGTTCGAACTAGGAGGGTAATGTAGGCATACCGCACTTGCAAATGAAGCCCGGGATTTGAATTTCCCGGGCTTCATTTGCAAGTGCGGTATGCCTACATTACCCTCCTAGTTCGAACTAGGAGGGTAATGTAGGCATACCGCACTTGCAAATGAAGCCCGGGATTTGAATTTCCCGGGCTTCATTTGCAAGTGCGGTATGCCTACATTACCCTCCTAGTTCGAACTAGGAGGGTAGTGTAGACATACCCTAAGGGAGTAAGGGCTGTGTGGATGCCGCCAAGTTCAGTTTAAGGTAAGTCAGCTCCAGCTTCGTATTTTACGTAGCTGGAGTTGTGTACCTTAAGCCAGCCTTCCAGGTTCAGTGTAGACCTGGCCTAAGAGTTGTCCCATAAAGATTAGCAGTCCATTACTGAAAGAGCCCTCTGAAGCTTTAAAAAACCCATCACCAGTTACCTTACCAGTCACCGTGCGGAAAACTGCTCAGGAAATGAAATACTGAACTCTGTGCTGCATGGCATATAGCTGAATGCAGCTATGTCAACACAGTCACCATTAAGTTATAAAAATTGAACATTGTCCTTGTGGGTTAAAAAAATTCCAGCCATGCCAAAAAGCAACAGCAAATTGTCTTTAGGAAACTGTATAAATGAGAGTAAGCAGCAAATTCAGCATTTTGACTGTTTTCCAATTGCCCATAGCTACACTTGTTAAATTGAGTGCTGCGTGCATAAATCAAAACAGGATGTTTTCTTTTACCTAACAATGGCAAAGCTCTGTGCCAGTTTTTAAATGTGTTTTCTTGTGTGGATCCAATTTGAAGTTTTAAATACATTTTTCCCTATAGGTCTCTATACATATTGCATATATATACACAGCCAGGCGTTTTAACTTAGCAGGTTTAGAGGTTTTTTTAAAGAGAAGGGTTAACAAAAAATCAACAACTACCATTCGTGTTGATTTTTATTGTGCCCTTGGGTGCAATTAAATGTTGAGATTGTTATTGAATGTTTCTTGACAGATTGAATTTTCCTGTTTAGGAAGGCCACATACATACACTACATACCTACATCCCTTTCTGGAGGTAAGGCATTTCAGAAGCAATTGTACTGATAAAATAAAGACAATAGTGCAGTTAGGAAATGGAGACACCCAATAATTAAATAGACAATATCAGAGCCGCTGTGTGATTTAAGATTTGAATGGCTGGATTTTTCTCCTTATACTTGTTTCCAAATTTTATTTTATTTTATTTTCTAACCAAATGTTTTAAGATTGTTTATAGGAATTTTTAAAATTTTATTTTCGGGTCTGTTGTAAATAAACCAAAATTTATAAGCAATTATTTAGATATCTTAGGTACTTACATGACGTTCCACTGTTGCGGAATCTGAGCGTCTCACATTCTTTTAATGTATTTAGCCTCCCAACTCCCCTGTGGGGTAGGGAATAGCTATTATCTCCATGTTACAGATGGGGAATGGAGCCACAAAGAGATTAAGTGACTTGCCCTAGGTCACATAGGGAGTCTGTGGCGGAGCAGGGAATTTAACCTTGTGTCTTCCAAGTGCAGGGCTAAAACCAATAAGAAGCACTTCGTGTGGCTTTGGTCTTATAAGGAATCCAGCAATTAACACACTGTGTGACTGAAATAAATGACTCAACAAACCTGTGCGTGTTTGAGTGAATATGTCTAGCATTCACAAGTAATTACGTGATAACAAACTAGTTTGGGTTTGTGAGCTATCCTGAATTACAAACGGATCCCATACTTCCAGGACAACACTACAACGATATTGACGAGTAATTTTACAATAATGAACCAGCATATGTGTGAAATGTGGGTAGAAAGATAGGCTAGGATGAAAAACTGTAATATCTTGCACACCAAGGAGGAGAGGATATTTGACTATACTGGAAAAGCTATAAACCAATAAATGTCAGTAAAAAGAATACATAACACAGGTCCATATTAGGGATGTAAGAGTGTAGTCATTTAAATGGGTGATGGTTACCCAAATGGTTACACATGGCTGCCGGTCTGGTTCCCAAGGCAGAAGCATGGGGCAGCAACCGGCTTCCCAGGAGTGGGGCGGCAGGTGGGAGCCAGTACTGACTGGGATCTGGCTCCTGGCACACACCAGTTCCTGGGGAGCCACCTGAAGCCTGGTGTGTAACTGTGTAACGGCTGAATTTTTCAGCCATTATTCAGTTAGCTAATTACACACCTTTTAAGAGCCATAGTCCATATAGGCTCTCCTTTTTATTAGAGGAAGGGTCCCGCAGAGCAATGCTAATTTATATCAGCTGAGGATCTGGCCCAGAGAGTACCCTTTTGTCCTCTTCTCTGGACATTGGCAAAAACCTATATTTTCTAATTTATGATGGTATTTGCAGGGGAAGGGGGAGGAATCAAAATCTGTTTAATTGGTGCTGATTGTCCCAGCCAAGACCCAAATGCAGACAAGTAATTCCACCAACAATTTGAAAACGACAGTGTCCACAGAGTCATACACTGTTTTTTCAAATCTTTCAGCAGCTCCTTTTTTATCCCTTCACAAGCTGTCCACCCACTGCTACAGTTGTTATTGTTACATTTACGCAACAAGCAGTTAACCTGATCAGATTGCAGTCTTTCCCATAGTATCCGTCCATCAGCTGTCTGCCTCTTCTGGAGGAGGTCTGTGAGCAATAGTGCACGGCAGGGTGTGTGGTTGTAATAATACTGATCACTTCTGAAGCAATTTTTACACTTGTAGATTGCAAAACATTTAACAAAGGCTGTCCCAATGGATCATTTCCAAATTTTGCACAGAAACTAGTGCCCTCCAGGACAGGCAGTATCATGTTATACAATACAGACATGACCAGTTTTTGTAGATGGGGAAACTGAGGCTTAGAACATGTGTGAGTCACTCATGGACACACAGCCAGTCTATATTAAAGTCAGGGATTGAATTCAGACCTTTACACTCTTGAGTCAGATCAAAAACTCTCCAGAAAGTATAGTAGTTTATTGGAGACAATATAGAATTAGGAAACAGTGTTATCTGTTGGCTAGAGCAAGGGATTGGAAGGGAAGTAGTCTGGGTTCAATTCCGGATTCTGTCACTGATGTATCTTGTGACCCTTGGCTGTCAAATAATTTAGCTATGCTTCAGTTTATTCAGTAGTAAATGGGGCTATTTTACCTACCTTACAGCAGGGCGATGCGATTTAATCCATGATTATGGAATGACTAGGAACACTGTGCAAGGAACCTGTTGGAAGTACATTGCACAAGGATTAGACAAGTTATGTTCAAGATGATTTGATTAGAGTTTGTGTTATGATGTTGCCCCTCACCACTGTATGTTTCAGCATTGCATTTGTGGAAACAGTTTTATAATTACAGTATTGCAGTTCTTGGCACGTACATCTTATTTTCTAATGTTGGTTCCACAGCCCTTCCCAGAAGTGGAAAACTCTTGTTGCCTTCATGTTACAGATGGGTGAAATGAAGGCACTGAGGCAGTGATTACTAAAGATGACACAGTAACTCAGTGGTTTTCAAACTTTTTTTCCTCACAACCCAGTTGAAGAAAATTGTTGATGCCCGTGACCCAACGTAATTGTATCCTTTGACTAGGCTCCGAGCTGGGGCTGGGAATGAAGGGTTTGGAAGACAGGAAGGGACTCAGGATTGGGGCAGGAGATTGGGGCGCTGGGTTGGACATGGGCTTACTTCCAGTGGGGATTCTAAGGCTGCTTCCCACCTGTCTTGTCATCTCAGACCAAGTTCTGTCCCAGGAGCAGCAAGGGGCAGGTCTGAGTCCTAGGCAGAGGTGTGCAAGCAGCTCTGCATGCTGCTTTCACACACAGGTACTGTCCACTCCAGTTTCCATTGGCTGGAGTGTGGAGCCGGTGTCCACGGGGAGGGCATTGTGTGGAGCCCTGTAGCCCCCTGCCTAGGAGCTAGACCGGCTGCTGGTCACTTCTGGAGTGCAGTGTGGTTCATAGTGCAAGGACAGGGAGGAAACCTGCCTTAGCACCCCCACTATTCACTTGGTCACGGCCCGTACTTTGAAAACCACTGCAGTCAATTGGGGCAGAGCTCAGAACAGGACCCAGGTTCACAGGTCACAGTCTGAGCTGTTGGACTGAGCTACCGTCACATCATGTGACACATGTATGATACTTTATGCCGCTGAGATGATTCTTTGTTCTTATTTAGCCTGTTAGCCCGAGCTCCACAGATGTAGCTTTCAGCCTCACTTCCTCATCTTGCCTCCTTTCTGTGGTCTTAAATAAAATTAAAATGGGAGTTTTCTCTAATCAAATGGGAGAAGACTCCTGCTGCTCCTTCTCCACCCAGTCTAGGATAGTGAGATCCCCTGGTCGTGCACAGAACTTGATTTTACCCAAGCTTTCTTGAGCCTAGCTCACCTGTGGCGAACTGTGCTTGTCAGGGTTTCAACTGGCAAGGTTTCCATTGCTGAGCATTTGTTTCATGTGTTGTTTGTTTTGACAGCTGGGTGTTAAACACTACCGAGGTGAAGGGGTTTTGTCAGTTTATATTTAAATCATGAGTTCCGTTCTCCTGGGATGCAGAGTGAACTATTAGCAGGATGAAAAGCAGCTCACTGCAGTGCTGGCTTTTCCTGCACACAGCAGCTTTGCATTGGGAGTCCTATGAATATGGAAAATCTCCCATTCATCTGACCCGTGCATCCCGAAGCAGTGATGATTACCATTAATATGGAAAGAATGTGTGTTCCCCGTGCAGTGACAGTAAAGCGCCTTGCTAAGGGCCGACCTTCCCACTGACACTGAAGGAAAAACTTAATGGTAGCTGGATGCTCTGATAATGCAAGGGCTGAGCACCCAGACCTATCACCAGCTGGCATGCAGTGGGTTAACTGGTCCCTCCAGTTGGAACTATAACTATTTCCTGATCCTCAGTCATTTGAAGAGTGTTTACTCTCCACCCTGCAATTGCCAGAATGGAGAATTGATTGGAGTTTGCAGGTGAAAATGGATTGCAACTTGCTGTCCATAGTGTCAATGGAGCTGATTAGCACATGCGTCTGTCTCCAATGGATTGATCTTACAGGTGAGAATCGTTCAGAGACCAGATGGGGCCATGGCCCTCCTGTAGGATGCTCATTCAAGGCAACCTCAGTTGTTCAGCCTGTGTCGACAAGGGGATGTTCGCTGCAGCAAAACAGCAAAATGAGTGTCATTCGTACTTAATCTAATCACTGGGACATAGGAAATGTCACTGCTACTGTACAAGATTAGTTTAAAAGCCTCCTAGTAGCATAGCATGACATATTCCCTTCCTGCTGTATTACAACTCAAAAGAGAGCAAACGTTACAGAGACTAATAGGATGCATGTTTCCTATTACTGACAGGGAATAAAATTTAATTTCCTTTTTTGCCTAGAATCTTTCAGACCCCATACACCTCAAAGAACTATATAAAGGAACTCATTAGCTAGTGAGGCTATTATTATTTATATTCTAGAAGCCCTCATTAAGGATCAGGGCCCCATTGTGTTAGGCACCGTACAAACATATAGTAAAGTGACAGCCCATGCCTTAGAGCAGTGGTCTCCAACCTTTTTAAGCACAAGATCACTTTTTCAATTCAAGTCAGTCCAGGATCTACCTTAAACCCAAATACTCTTGTCCCACTTCCTTCCTCGCCCCTTCTCCAAGGCCTTGCCCTTTCCCCGCCCACTCCTTCTCAGAGGCCTCGCCCTGCTCACTCTGTGGAGATGTGGTACTACCACCTAGCAAAACCAGTCAGGATCACCTGTCAAAGACTCCAAGATCTACCAGTAGATCCCAATCTACTGGTTGGGTGGGGTGGGGTGGGGTGGGGGGGAGAAACCTTGATATCCCCAACCCCTTTTTTTTCTCCCCCATCCTGCACAGCAAGCAGGAAGATCTTGAGATGCAGCTCCAAGGCAGAGGTTAGGAGAACCGTGGCAATGGGGGAAGAGGCAGCTAAGAGTTCTTTGCTGCAACTCTGGCTGCCCTGACATGCTTTTTTCATAGAATCACATCATATTAGAATTGGAAGGGACCTCAGAAGTCATCAGGTCCAATCCAATGCACTCACAGCAGGACTAAGCACCATCCAGGTCATCCGTGACTGATGTTTGTCTAACCGTCTATTAAAAATTTCTAATGATGGAGATTCCACAACCTTCCTGGGCAATTTATTCTGGTGTTGAACCACCCTGACAGTTAGGAAATTTTTCCCAATGTCCAACCAAAACCTCCCTTGCTGCAATTTCTTTGTAGCCTGGGACATTGGAAGCAGTTACGTTAAGAGGGAATTTAGATGTAGGCATTTGGGGTGATACCTTAGGCTCATAGAAGTCAATGGCAAAACTCCCATTGACTTCAGTGTGGCCATAATTTCATCCTCAGATTCTGTCTTGATATTTTTAATGGCTACAGTGGATAACCCACTAGTGTTGGACAAGAAAGGGCTTTGCTTTATTATAATCTCCACTGATACAATTTAGTAACATTGCATCACTATTAAATTAATGCTAAATCATTCCATAATAATATGATCTTAAATTTACATAGTGCATAGGATCCGCAAGGTGAGTGACTGACTTTACGTGATTAAGGAATCCCACAAGTGCAGTGCAGCCACATCTTGGGTGGAGCCGGTCAGCTGTTAAATAGCATTTAGCAACTCTACACAATAGGTAAAGGCAGGAAGGGACAAAGAATCCCATTTCCAGTTGAAACAGCAAGCAGGATTTAAACAGGCAAAGTCAGTGACCCAACATGGAATTCATTCAGGAGACTGGGGTTAACATCCTTGGGGAAATTGACATGGTGTGATTGTTCAAGAGGGACAAGCATTCAGTGATAATACAGGAATGTCCAGGTGCCTTGGAGTATGTCTACACAGCAGGGCTAAAGTCGGAATAAGCTATGCAACTTCAGCTATGTCAATTGCGTAGCTGAAGTCAAAATAGCTTAACTCAGCTTTTAGCGCTATCTACACAGCGGGAATGCAAAGGAAAATCACTCTTCCTTTGACTTCCCTTACTCCTTGTAAAATGGGGGTTACCATGGGTACGAGTAAGAAGTCCTCCAGCTCAACATTATTTCGAAATAAAGGTTTGTAATGTAGATGCACACTCTGCTATTTCAGAATAACATTGCTGTGTAGACGTACCCTTAGAGAGATAGCTTTTTGTAACTTAGACAATCCCAGGAATGTCTGAACTACTTGGAGGTCAGGGAGCACTTCATCCCAGGTACGACTCCACTAAAATCAACACTATAGAAGCACCTTCACTCAAGTGAGGCCCACGGATTGGCATTACAAGAGCAGGTGCAGGTCATAACTGAAATGCATCCACAGAGCATTTTGGGGGGTCAGGTCAACTGGAGGCAGAGCAGGACTGCAATGCATTGGCAGAACTCTGGGTGGGCTCAGAACTAGACTGGAGGTGGCAGGAAAGGAATTGTGGGAAAGAGCAAGGAATTGCGGGAAAGCTGTGTGGAAAAGCTGGAGTGCACTGAACCTCTTTCTAACCAATGATCCCTCACTTTCCTGAATGCCAAACGCACACACAGAAACGTTAAACAAAAGGCTACACCACAGTATGGGTCAAAGGATTCCTTTTTTGAGAATGAGAGAGAGAGAGAGAGAGAGAGAGAAACTTTGCAAATTGGTACACAGGCTGCTTCTTTATGACGAAATCCAGAACCACAGAAGTCATCTCTACTCAAGAGACTAAAGGCCAAGAATAAACTAGTTTCATTGCACATTGCAGGAGAATTGCCACAGTACAATCCACTACTATGGATAGAGGCTTCTACTGTGCCCTTTTCTAATTCCAGAAAAGCAGCTACTTCCACACATGGATGTTGCAATGGAAGGGGTAGTGGGACACATACCCTGGACCAGTAATTGGCATCTTAAACTACTGAGTGGGCCACAGGAGTGGACCTACTTCTTCTCAGTGGGCTGCAAGATTGTCATAATTTAGACAGTCTCTTGGGCTAGGGTAGTTTTGCTAACTGCTCTTGCATACCTAGAATTTGCAGGGTGTGTGGCAGTGCTTTGATGGGTTGCAGAGGGAGCACATGGCTCTCACAATCAGTGTTGTGTGCAATCAGCATGATCCTCACTTCACGGGCCCTGGCTTTACACTCACGTCACTTCAGTAATACCGTTGGAAAAAAACCTATGCAGGCGGAAAGCATCAGAATCTGGCAACTCTGTATGTGAGCAATGGTAAGCAAAATGTCTCGTGGGCCACACATAAAACCCCACATGTGGCCTTTGAGCTGCAGGTTGCTCACCACTCCTTGGACAATTATGGACCATTATGCTCCAAGATGGAGCAAGACATTCTTAACACTCCAGGGCTATGTCTAAACTGGCAGCTTCTTGCGCAAGAACTCTTTTGTGGAAGAGTTCTTGTGCAAAAGCTCTTCCACAAGAGAGCGTCTACACTGCCATGTGCTTTTGCACAAGTGATGTGCTTTTGCGCAAGAGCATCCATGGCAGTGTAGATGCTCTCTTGCACAAGAAAGCTCTGATGGCCATTTTAACCACAGGGGCTTCTTGCGCAAGAAATTCATGATGCCTATCTACACTGGCCTCTTCTAGAAGAGCTCTTGCGCAAGAGGGCTTATTCCTCATGGGGAGAGGAATAACTCTTCCGGAAGAAACCCTGTTTTACAACGCTGTACTGTAAATTTACTTCTGGAAGAACGCTCATGCAGTGTAGACAGCCGGCAAGTTTTTGCGGAAGAACGGCTGTTCTTGCGCAAGAAGCTGCCAGTGTAGACGTAGCAGAAGTAAAACATGCAGCAGGGCCATTTAACATGGCCATTTGCATAGAGCTGCTACAACCTTAAAAGGAAGGAACTTGCAAATGAGGGTTGGGAATTGTTAGGGATCAGAGCTTTGATTTGGTTCATTATATAGGAGGGGAGAATATACAGTGTCTGCTCCCCCACAATGAGGAAGTATTTATATCCAGGAGTTTAGTCCAGACCCATGTCTTGTTGTAACTTATGAAAACTAGGCTGAAATGAGGCCCTTTTTTGGCAGACTAGTTTATACTGTGCTCTCTTCAGTCTGATGCAAAGGTAACACTAGATCACAGGAGGTGCACTTCTGCCCAGGGTTATACTTAGCTGAAGTGACAGAAAGAAATCCACATCTGTCTTGCCTTTCATGTAACATTCAGGACTGGATTCAGACTTTCCCAGCGTTTTGGGATGTTCCAATCTGGGATTTTGCCTCATAACCGCTGCACACTTTTCTACTGCGCTCTTAAGAGAGCTTCCCCAGTAGAACTTTTTCATGTAGGTCCTAGGTGTATACCATGTAGGGGCCAGGCAAGGAACTTCAATGTGTTCATTAACTGAAGTAAGTTGTATGTAGCCTATCATATGGGCTGTCCTGTTTCACTCATTTTCATTGCATCCCCGAGTTTGATGCTCCTGTTTGATCTTTTTGGGAAGCCTGGGAAATATAGTTCAGAATACACTTGGGGTGTGTCT